TGATATTTTTTACGTCGCGCACCCCCCACGTGACGTAAAAAGTATCACTTTTTACGTCGCGCACCCCCCATGTGATGTAAAAAGTGATACTTTTTACGTCGTGCACCCCCTACGTGACTTAAAAAGCTCTCTTTTACGTCGCGTTGTACCATGTGCGACGTAAAAGAGGTTTTTAACGTCACCTCCTACAATATGTGACGTAAAAGTTTCACCTCTTATTTACAAAATTGCCACCGCGTTTTATTTACGTCGAATATTTTGACATGCAACGACAATTGGGTGACGTAAAATGTGATTTTTGCACTAGTGAGATGAAGAAGTGAATGATGAGTTTGAAGGGGTTCAAGTTGTTACGTAAACATTAAATGCATGTAGTTGAGAGATAGTGGTTATAGAGGTAGTATTTGAGAGGTAGTAGTTGTATTGAATGTATGTAGTTGAGAGATAGTGATTGTATTGAATGTATGTAGTTGAAATGTAGTAGTTGTATTAAATGCATGTAGTTGAGAGACTATATCCAAAGGCATATAAATTGATCATGTACCACTCATTGCAAAATCAGAGTGCTTTATTTAGATACTTGTTTATCAACAAATTGGTATCAAAGCTTGAGAGCCTGAGTGTCTGAGTGCGTTAGAGAGAGTGTTTGAGAGTTAGAGAGTTTGTTCGATATGGCCAACTTAGCTAACAACATGCTCCTGCCAAAGTTATCGAAAGGTGTAAGCTATGATAACTAGAGCCTACAAATGAAGGCTCTCCTTGGTTCCCAGGAAGTATGGGATGTGGTCGAAAAAGGGCACCAAGAACCAGAGAATATTGAAGAGGAGACGATTGCCCAACTTGCTGCATTGAGAACAATACGAGTAAAGGACAAAATGACTTTGTACGTGCTGTACCGAGCTGTTGATGAGTCCGGCTTTGAGAAGATAACAAATGCTAAATCTTCAAAAGAAGTGTGACATATTCTGGAAAAGACATATAAAGAGGATAATCGCGTGAAGCAAGTCAGACTTCAAACTCTTAGAGGCGAGCTTGAAAGCATGAGGATGAAAGAGGTCGAAGGGGTTGCCGAGTACATCTCCCGTGTTGAGATCGTGGTGAATCAACTTGGAAGAATTGGAGAGACGCTACCCACTTGCCGAGTGGTGGAGAAAATCTTAAGGTCGTTAACTGATGACTTTGAGAATATCATTTGTGCAATAGAAGAGTCCAATGACTTGTCAATGCTCTCGGTGGAAGAGCTTGCCGGGTTGCTTGAAGCGCATGACCAGCAGAGAAGGAAGAAGAAAGAGGAGTCCCTTGATCAAGCACTCCAAGCAAAGGCAACCTTAAAGGAGAAGAAGGTTCCTTATGCTTAGAACACTCAAGGTCGAGGTGGTAGAGGAAGAGGAGAATATGAAAGAGGTAAGGAACAAGTCAATCAACAAAACTGGCGTGGCCGAGGAAAAGGTAGAGGTCGTGGCGGTAGAGGTCGAGGTGGTCAGTCAAGTAATTTCAGAGTTGAGTGCTTCAAATGTGGGAAGTACGGTCATTTTGCTAAGGACTTCTATTCAAGTATCAAATGTTATAATTGTGGGAAGGTTGGGCATTTCGCGAAGGACTACCAATTTGAGAGCAAGAAGGAAACAAATCTCTCTGAGGACGCTGAGGAAGAAGGAGTATTGATAATGTTGAGAAGTTCGGATGTCGAGCTAAGTCCGAGCTGTTCTGACAACTCGGTTTGGTATCTTGATATAGGAGCAAGTAACCACATGTGCGGGGATGAGAACCTTTTTAAAGAGCTCACTAAATTTGAGGCCGGACACGTGTCATTTGGAGATGCAGTAAAAGTTGGAGAAATTAGAGACGTGTATTATATACCCGATCTCAAAAGCAACATATTGAGCATGAGCCAGCTGATGGAGAAAGGCTACTCGGTTCTAATGAAAGACCGAGTACTATACCTGAAGGACAAGTCGGATCGTTTGATTGCCCGAGTAGAAATGAAGAAGAACAGAATGTACAAGCTGGACTTGAAGATAGTCTAAGAGAGGTGCTTGAAACTTGACGTGAAGGATGAAGCAATGATGTGGCACTTTCGGTTTGACCACTTGCATTTTGGCGGGCTGACCGAGTTGGTAAAGAAAGAGATGGTGCGAGGACTCCCGTCTATGGAATTTGAAAAGAAATTTTGTGAAGAGTGTGTGCTCGGGAAGCATCCGAGGACGGTCGAGTATCATGCAAAGGAATAACTCAAATTGATTCACACAGATCTTTGTGAACCGGTTACCCCTGAGTCCTTCAGTGGGAAAAGGTATTTCATTTCTTTTATAGATGATTTTTCAAGAAAAACCTGGGTATATTTTTTGAAGGAGAAATCCGAGGTGTTTGAGGTGTTCAAGAGATTTTAAGAAATGGTTGAGAAAGAGACTGCATGCCTATCAAATCTGTTAGGTCTGATCGAGGAGGCAAGTTCATTTCATTCGAACTCATGAAGTATTGCGAGGAGCAAGGCATAAGGAGATTTCTGACAGCACCATACTCACCCAAACAAAACGGAGTTGCCGAGAGAAAGAATCGAACCATTCTTGACATGGTTCGAACAATGTTGAGAAGCAAAAACGTGCCAAAGGAGTTCTGGGCAGAAATAGTGCAATGTGCCATCTATGTGCAAAATAGATGTCCACATGCTAAGCTAAACGAGAAGACACCGCAAGAAGTCTAGAGTAGAAGAAAATCGAGTGTGTCTTACCTTAAAGTGTTCGGTAGCATAACTTATGGTCATGTTCCAGCGACCAAGCTTGAAGATAGAAGCAAAAAGTATGTGTTTATTGGGTATGATGAAAAAACCAAGGCGTACAGGTTGTTTAACCTAATAACTAAGAAGGTCATTATGAGCCGAAATGTTCAAATTGATGAAGAAAGCGAGTGGAGTTGGAACAACCCGGAGAAGGAGTCCATAGGAAGTAGAAGCTCGGAAGTTGATACACCATATACTATGAGAGATCATGAGACTTCTGATGAAGAAGATGAACCTCTACAGCCCAGAGCGCGAAGTTTACAAGATATATATAACTCTAGTGACGAAGTGCATGTTGTATGTCTCTTGGCAGATTCAGAAGACTTAAGTTTTGAAGAGGTCATGCAGGAGAAAAGGTGGAAAAAGACAATGGATGAGGAGATCGGGGCAATAAAACGCAACAACACATGGGAGCTGATTGATTTACCCAAAGGAGCGCGGCCTATTGGCGTAAAGTGGGTGTACAAGAAAAAGACAAATGCTAAAGGAGAAGTTGAACGATATAAAGCTCGACTCATAGTGAAAGGGTACAAGCAGAAGGAAGGAATAAACTATGACGAAGTATTCGCCCCAGTGACGAGAATGGAAACAATTAGGCTGCTGATTTCCTTAGCAGCTCAACACAGATGGACAATCTTGCAGATGGACGTGAAGTCGGCATTTCTGAATGGAATCTTGGAGGAGGAAGTATATGTTGAACAACCACTCGGATACATGCGAAGAGGTGAAGAGAAGAAAGTGCTAAGATTGAAGAAGGCACTTTATGGCTTGAAACAAGCTCCACGAACATGGAATGAAAGAATTGACACTTACTTCAAAAGGAATGAATATGAGCAGTGTCCTTATGAACATGCTCTATACATAAAGAAGAAAGGAGAAGATGTGATGTTGGTTGCCCTATATGTTGATGACCTTATCTTTATGGGGAATAATGCTGAGCTGATTGAAGAGTTTAAAGAAGTGATGAAGAAGGAGTTTGAGATGACTAAATTGGGTCTTATGAAGTATTTCCTTGGTTTAGAAGTTGTTCAAGGAAAGACTGACATCTTTGTGTCGCAGGAAAGGTATGCTGAGGAGATCTTGAAGAAGTTTAAGATGACAAGTTGCAACCCGGTTTCCACCCCTATGGAACCTGGTACAAAACTTTCTAAGTATGCAGATGGAGACCGAGTTGATGTGAGCAAATACCGAAGTCTGATTGGAAGTCTTAGGTATCTTACAAATACTAGACCAGATTTAATGCTAAGTGTTGGAATAACAAGTCAATATATGGAGGAGCCAAGGTATACTCATTGGAAGACACTAAATAGAATTCTAAGGTATGTGAGATGAACAATGTCACTTGACCTAATGTATACTAGGACAGATGATTATCGACTAGTAGGCTACTCGGATAGTGATTGGTGTGGAGATTTTGATGATCGGAAAAGCACGTTTGGATATGTATTCTTCATGGGAAACACAATATTCACCTGACTTTCAAAAAAGCAGCTCATTGTAACGTTGTCAACTTGTGAAGCCGAATACGTTGCAGCATCTTGGAGTTTCTGTCATACAGTTTGGCATAGAAACCTTCTAAGCAAGCTGGAGTTGAAGCAAGAAAAATGGACTGTGATTCGAGTTGATAACAAGTCGGTCATTGAATTGGAAAAGAACCTGGTCAATCATGAGAGAAGCAAGAATATTGATGTTCGGTTTCACTTCATCGGAGAACAAGTGAAAGAAGGAAATGTGGAGTTAGAGCACGTCGGAACTCGAGCACAAGCTGCAGATATGTTCACGAAGCCACTACCAACCACTCTGTTCAAGAACAGCAAGAAGATGTTTGGAATGAAGGACAAGAAAAACATTTAAGTTTATGGGGGGATTTTGTTAGGTAAACATTAAATGTATGTAGTTGAGAGGTAGTGGTTATAGAGGTAGTAGTTCAGAGGTAGTAGTTGTATTGAATGTATGTAGTTGAGAGATAGTGGTTGTATTGAATATATGTAGTTGAAAGGTAGTAGTTGTATTAAATGCATGTAGTTGAGAGGTCATATCCAAAGGCCTATAAATTGACCATATACCACTTATTGCAAAATCATCAAGTGATAATATACAAAGTGCTTTATTTAGATACTTGTTTGTCAACACAAGTAAGGTGTAAATACATATGTAAATATGCTGAGTCAAGCCGAAATGGGCATCGTGATATGAACGCCTCTTTAAGGTCATAAATAAGGTACTATGAGCTAAGTTTTCCAAAGAAACACAAGGAGAAGATATTCAGTTCATATTTGCCACAGGTGTTGGAGAGAGCCAAAGCCATCAAACAAGAAAATGAGGCAATGAAGCTTCACACGGTTGATTATAGAGGTTACTGGAGAGAGCCTGGTATCAAACTTGATCACCCCATGACTTTCAAGACTCTTGCAATTGATGCAGAACTTAAGAGGGAAATAATGAATGGTTTGGACAAGTTTGTAAAAGGGAAAGAGTTCTATAAAAGAACTGGGAAAGCTTGGAAACGTGGCTACCTCTTGTATGGCCCTCCTGGCACTCGCAAGTCAAGCCTTATTGCTTCCATGTCCTATTATCTGAACTATGATATCTATGACTTGGATCTCACCACTGCCCAAGACAACAACGAATTAAAAAACTTGATCCTAGCCATGTCCAACCGTTCCATGCTTGTGATAGAGGACATTGATTGCGCTATAAAGCTGCAAAACCGAGAAGAAGATGGAGAAGCAGTTAATAACGGAGATAATAAGGTTTTTATCTCTACTTAAATATACCATTCATTTCAAAAGCTTAGTCTTAATTAGGAACATCTATGTGTGCATGCATCTATCCCTATCCATGTTAACAATATCAACATGCTTGCATTGCATATTATTTTGTTTAAATGTAATAACAGTGTCTATGAATTTTGAACAGGTAACACTTTCAGGACTGTTGAATGTTATAGATGGTCTATGGTCATGCTGTGGAGAGAAACGCATTGTTATTTTCACAAGCAATCACAAAGAGAGGCTGGATCCTGCTCTGCTAAGACCTGGCCGAATGGAAATGCATATTCATCTGTCATATTGTAACTTTTCTGCCTTTGAGCAATTGGCCTTCAACTACCTTGGGATTTCTCACCACAAACTCTTTGACCAGATTGAAGGGCTTCTGAGAGAAGTACAAGTGACTCCAGCTGAAATGGCAGGAGAGCTAATAAAGATCTCTGAGGTTAGAGAAGGTCTACAAGACATTGTCAAATTCCTCCACAACAAGAAAATGTTGCACGGAATGACTATATAATGCAACAGAATACCAAAGAAAACCATAAACTAGCTAGAGGATAAAAATTATGAAAAGATAACGGTTAAAATTGGTTCAACGGAAGTGTAACCCACCCAAATATTTTTAATTAGATTATATTTACTCCGATTAGTTACAAAAGTACTAATAAATTTCCTAGCTTATATATAGAAATTACTATTCATTAATGTAAATAATTAAACGTCCATAACAGAGATCTTCGAACTCACGAAGAATATAAAAGTATAGAGAGGAAATATCAACAACTACGACTCTTATTGATAAACCATACATGATTATATACAATAGAAGAGGGAGAAACTGAAAACAATTAAAATACATGATTATATTCTTGAGAGCCCTTCAAGTAGGGACTGTTTATGTTCATCATTTCCTGCTTAGAACATAGGTTTTGAATAGTCATTAGAGATATAGCTTTTGTAAAAATATTGTTGCAAAGAAGTTGAGATTGACAAAAGCTTTACTAAATCAGTGTTGACTTTGTTGCGAATAATATGACAATTTATATGTTTAGTTCTCGTGTGAAAAACTTGTTTGGAAGCATATTGTTTATCACAGTATAAAATGACCTGTTGAACAAAGGAACCCAAAAATTGAAAGGAATTTTTAGAATTTTGTACGTGTATTTCTAATATATCATGTGGGTATATTTTTATGGGTTAAGTATGTTTTTAGTCCCGAAATTGGAAATAGTCTCTCTGTCAAAATTTACATAAAAATGATTCCTATACTTTTGAAATGATTGGAATAGGTCCCTATTTTAAACGGTATTAAATATATGGTGACCTGTCTAACAGAGATAGTATGACCCATTCATTATTTGACACGTGTAATTATTTAAAAACAAAACAAAACTCTTTTTTTTAAAAAATAAAAATTATTCAACAGAGATTATTATTTAAAAAAAAAACAAAATTAAAAAGTAAAAGTTTTCATATTCTCCTCACGCACCAAAGCTCTTTAATTCTCGTCACAACACTTTTCATTCTCTCTTCTTTTCTCGTCATAGCTATTTTTCATTCTCTTTTCTTTTCTCGTCACACACCAAAAGTTTTTTCTTTCTTCCCCTTTTTTTGTAAAGATTCTATGAAGTCAAAGTAACTTTGAAGTTTGAGGGTTCCATCGGTTTGTTGTGGTTTGACTGGCAGTGCGATGGTGGTGCACAATGACAATGTTCGATGGTGGTATACCATAGCTAGGATTTTCATTTCCAAAAATTAAGGTAGAGAAGTTTAAATGGCTTATAAATGACAGATAAGTTTAAATTTCTTTTTAAATGGCTTTCAAATGACTTTTAAATGTTATAAATAGGGATTTAAATGACTTTTAAAAGCTTGACACCTTTTAATTTTATTTTTTTAAATAATTACATGTGTCAAATAATGAATGAGTCATACCATTTCTGTTAGACAGATCAACATATACTTAACGTCATTTAAAATAGGGACCTATTTCAATCATTTCAAAAGTATAGAGATCATTTTTATGTGAACTATGATAGAGAGACTATTTTCAATTTCACATGAAAGTATAGGGACTAAAAACATACTTAACCCTATTTTTATTCATGTACTCTATGTATATATAGATTAAAAATATTACAAAATATCAAATATAAATAATATCTCAATCATAACTGCCTAAATCAAAATAGTAACCTAATATCTTTTTACCTTCTCTCTTAAAAGATAATAAGATCTCTTAATACCTAATTTAAATAAAAGATAATAAAGTAATATTCTCAACATTCCTCCTTACTTTAATATCTATTTATTTGAATTTGATATTCTTCCTTTGATTTTGCTTAGAATTTTTCCTCCTTTTTTGTTTGTACTTCTTGTCATCTTCCTTTTTGTATGGGATCACATTTTCCTTCAACTTTATTTTCTTCATCAAAGTATTTCTTCCTTTATCAACTTCATCTCCTTTGTTTCTTTCAAACTTCATGGTAGTACTGTTGAATCTTTGATGAAAGTTAGAAACGGTTTCTTCATTTACATCTTTATTTTCCTCCTTAGCATCAAGTCCCTACAAGAAATATTCTTCATGTTTTTTCTTTGCCTTGTCGTTTGTAATTAACTCTTCTTTCATCAAATTTAAAGTGAATTTTTTCCTTTCATGTGAACTTTGAATATTTGCAAGTTATTTGTATCTTTAATCACACAAAGTTTGTGTTCAAAAGACACCTTATAAATTTTCTCCAATAATTGAGCAACACTTAATAAATTATGATTAATATTAGGAATATATAAAACATCAAAAATTAATTTGATACCCAAATAAATTTTAACTGCAATTGTTCTCATACCTTTCACATCCATTTGTTCTCTATTACCAATTCTCACTTTAGAAATATGTGATTCATTGAGCTCTTTGAAAAGTTCTTGATCATGAGTCATGTGATTTGTACAACCACTATTTATAAGCCAACCTGTGGATTTGTTGATTGTAGACCATGTTGATGCAAGGAGAAGTACCCCTTCTACTTCATCCTCTATAACCTGAACGACTTCCTCTGGTTGTGATTTGCATATCTTTTCTATATGTCCCAATTAACCACATTTCTAACATTTCACATCAGGCCTCCATCAACACTTGTTGGGTGTGTGTCATGATATAGTAAATAACCTTCACCAGCAGCATGATTTCCTCTCATCAATCTTCGTTGCCCTTGCGCTTATAAAATATGTAGCACATCTGCTAAAGTAATATTAGACAAATCCTTTGTATTTTCAAATGAAGCAATAGATGCTTCATATCTCTCTGGCATAATTACCATAATTTTTTCAACTATTCTGGAAACAGAAAATTCCTTGCCTAACAATTTTATTTTGTTAGCAATACCCAACAATTTGTTTGAGTATTCATTAATTGTCTCAAACTCTTGCATCCTTTGTATCTCAAATTCTCTTATCAAGTTTAGAACTTTCATACCTCAAATTTTCTCATCCCCTTCATATTAATCTTTCAAATAATCCCAAATTTCTTTGGGTGACTTTAGATTCATGATTCTGGTGAAGATCATTTGTGAAACACTAGCAAACAGACATGATTTAGCTTTTGTCTTCCTTGTTTTTCTTTGCCTGTGAAATTTTATTTGAACTATGGTGGAATTTTCAGGTAGCAGATCAACAATATAATCTTCTTCCACAGCTTCCCATACATCCAATCCTTCAAGATAGTATTACATTCTCACAGCCCATAAGTCATAACTTTCGGCATCAAAAATTGGAATAGCAACTTGTGAAAAGTTTCTTTCTCCTTCCATTATATCAAACCAAAGCTCTGGTACCACTGATAGGAATTTTTAGGATTTTGTGTAGGTGTATTTCTGATATATCATGTGAGTATATTTTTATTCATGTACTCTATGTATATATAGAGTAAAAATACTACAAAATATCAAATATAAATAATATATCAATCATAACTGTCTAAATCAAAATAATAACCTAATATCTTTTTATCTTCTCTCTTAAAAGATAATAAGATCTCTTAATACCTAATTTAAATAAAAGATAATAAAGTAATATTCTCAAAAAAAATATTGTAAAAGATAAGTGAGCCACTAGAGTTCATATGCAGTGAATGTTGAAGCATGATATTCGACCTTAGATGAGTTATGGGAAGCATTAAATTGCTTCTTCAAACACCATGGGATGAGAGAACAACCAAGATAGATAGAGAAACTGGTAATGAATTGATGAGAATCGATACAACCAACTTAATCAAAATCATTGAATGCCTTTAGTTGAATAGTACTATATGTAAGCAAGAAAATACCTGAGCTTAGAGTGTCTTTGAGATACAAAGAATGTGAAAAACAACCTATGAATGAGCAGTAGTAGGGTGTGCCAAGAATTGATTGAGATTTTGAACAACCTAAGTGATACCAAGACGAGTGGTAGTTAAATAAATGAGTTGTTCAATTAAGTGTTTATAAGACAAAGAATCAGATAACATAGTAGTGGAGGTAGAATGAGACGCAAGCATGCCGAAATTGAAAAGTATATCAAGGTAGATGCTAGAAATATTATGTGCAACCTCGAGACCAAGAAAGAATTTCAAATTTCTAAAATTTTTAATCTTGATAAATTACTCCCGTTAGATCAATATCATCGAGAAGAATGATAATAGTATTTTCCATAAAATTGAAGAAGAGAAAGTGATTAGAATGAGTATAATGAAACTACAATTAGTCTAAAACACAAAGGCTATCCCTGGATTGAATTAAGAGAAAATACATATATACATGCAAGGTTATCAAACTTAGACTCTACGTAGACTCGTGGGAGGTCTATAAACTCGACTCATAGACTCCTAAGACTCTACTTCATATGAAAAATATCAATTTAACAAAAAATATGATAATATCAATTTCACATTACTGAAATAAATAAGTTCATACAATAATACACTGATAAAATAATAAAAAATAAGTTTCAGACATTTTTAATTTCAATATTTATATCTAAAATAAAAAAAATCAATTGATTTTGTCCAGCAAAATAATCAGAATTAAAAAAAAAACATTATTTTTTTTTTCTAAATTCCTAAAATCCCTAAATCTATTTGAAAACCCTAAAATCTCAAATCCCTCAATCTAACCTACGAGAGGGGTGATTGATGGTTAACCTGCGAGAAGAGTGGCCAAAGAGGAGCGGTTGGGGTGAGACACGTGACCACCGGGAGAGACGCACAAGGCAACCACCGCATAACAAGAGGAAATAGATGGGCAACCGGATGGAAGAGACTAAGGGAGCACTGTGATGCAACCACCGACAACGACAACCAACAATGAGAAAGGACGAGGAATACGAGATATGAACCTATGACAAGAAATGAAGAGTGCGGGAGAAGATTTAAGTGTCTCTTCTCTTTCTAACTCGGTGACTCACCTCTGACTCGCAAGTTTAATCAGAGTCCATCGAGTTCACCGAGTTTGACCCTGAGTCTACTCTAAAATGAGTCTACTCACG